ACCCCGATGCTCTGGAGCTTATGCGAGCAGCAACGCGTCCGTGTCGGCGCGACAGTGCTCTTCAGTAAGGAAGGAAGGAAAAAAAGTCCGACACTGGCCTTACCAACACGCGCACGCGTCCGCGCAGCAGTTTTCTATGGAGCGGTCTCACCCCCACCCCATGAATTGGAGCCACAAAGGAGAAAAGCACATGGCTCGACACCAGATCCCAAGAAACAAGTAGGAGCCCTGCGGTCAAGCCTTGGATGAGAAGGGGTGGCCTCTGGGGTGGATGAGCCAATCACAGTCTAGCAAAAGTTTCAATTTGTTAGAACACAGTAGTCATGAGCCGCACTTTAGGAGAGCGAGCGCGGGCGGGCGCATCACACTGATGCGGTTTAACACATTACATTGAGACGCGGTTGCGCGTCTCACCCTTGTCATCCCTTTTTCTAGCGTATGCGGGGATTCTTCCCAATTTGCTTGCCTCTATTCTATGGATTACAACATAACATAACTGTAAACGACATGGGTCACGGTATGATCAAATATGCTCCAGTTTAGCAGAAGTTTTTTAAGCACAGCGGAATTGGCAGCTCGGTTCATTCCCTCGTTTTCTTCCTATTCTCATGAACATGTCAGTGAGAAAGGGTAGTGAAAGTAAATACAAACCTAAAGGGATAGAAAGATATATGTTTCACTTGACACATCCACATCGAAAATAGTTTTGGCATCCACTACAGAGAAAGGACTTAAATTCCAATTTTCCTTATCAGTGAACAACTTGGCTACACTCCATTTGGCTCACGAATTCGTGGCTTCGCACTAAAGTACGCGGAAATGCCCCCCACCTCAGAGGCTCAGTCTATGGAATTTTACGACATCATAGGCCGGACGCATAGTCGGTCGGACGACAGCAACGACTGCAAGTGTCGCACAGCATTGGGTGCGTATCGATCTGCGACACATGCGACACTTACGACCGCTGCTGTCGGACGACAGCAACGATCGTAAGTGTCGCAGATCAATACGCAGCTACTATTCCACACTACAGTGGGACTTTCGAAATACGATCACGCGCAGTCACGTGTTGTCTGGGTTTAGCATTGGGTGACCGCGTCGCCTTCCATTTGCAACCGCGGTTTATGCGACACTTGCGGTCGTTGCTGTCGTCCGACCGACTATGCGTCCGGCCACTCAAGGCGGTTTTCTAGGCTAGGAGTTGTAATGGTCCGAGGACCGGCGCGGACCACCTAGGTGCCAACTTTCAATTGCCATCGCGGAGTATCTTCCGCCTACACATGTTCTAGTTTACGCACAAAATTTCCCATCCAGCAAGCAGTACCTAGTTCACGAAGAGAAAGTGGAGATCTTGACTAGAAATCTTGGTGAATTCGTTTCTTGAGCATTGCGAGGTGTTACATCGAGTTACGATCGGTATGTGGGGTCTCCAAGCAGGAGGGGGTTGACGCTGGACGGAGGTATTCGCCGAGGTGCTCGCTCTTCTTTTGAAAGTTCCACGCGCGCGGCGTGTTTCGAAACGGAGTAGCACTGGGTTAAGCTTCCTCAGGGGTTGTGGCTGATCGTTCTCGCGCACAATGTGATCTCATTGGCACGTGTTGATTTTGAGTTTTTCTCTTACCAGATGTGATCTTATGAATATAATGGCGCAATGGTTGCCTCCGGAAGGGAGGAGTCTCGAGTCTGTTGGAAGGCCACTAGGACTAAACCTAAGCAAGGGGACGAATTCCGAGGCGAATGAGATTTGCTTACGCAGCTCAGATTCTGTTTTCCTCCCAAGTCTAGTCCCAGAACTGAATGTTCCGTGAATGGTTATCGCAATGTTTAAGGGCCACCCCACCCCCGGAGGCATTGTACTTATAAATTTTACCTTCGTCCCTTCAAATGTAAAGCTCAAGCCTGTTATTTCGCCAATGCGTTTACATTTCAGAATCTTTACACGGAGTTCGTGGTTGAAACCTAATAGGAACTTGAATTTGCATCTTTTTTTCACTTTGACACCTACCATTCGTATTGACTCTCCCAGAACAACAGTAACAGCCAATCGTTCATCGAGACATAAAGACCCGTTTACACATCACACACGAATTCCAATCGGTGGTTGAAAAAAATTGTAGACTCATACCTTTGGAAAGACACTGCAAGTAAAGAAGGGCGGGCGGTTGTCTATTTTAATAACGGTAAGATGAGGGAATCCGCTTCTACTATGGGGAGTGGGGATTTACCCACGTATGGGGATCTTTCTTGGAGTTACTGCCAACTACGAAATTAGGTCTGAGTGGACTCTTCATTAGCCTAAAGGTTCGCTGGAAATGATAAAGGAACCCTATCACGATTGGTGGCTTGTGAGGAATCTCCACGATAAAATACGCTGTAAGTCGGGGATCTGTTTTCAACAATCAACATGCAGGCATTTCATCATTTCCATCAAAACGCTTCGTAAAATACAAAATTATGTCATGAAAAAAATAAAGTGACTTGAAGGTGGGCCCGCGAACAGGCGGTACTAGTGTATTATCGGAATTCCCTTACTGCAACCTTACTAAGGTGCTTTGCAATACGTTTTGCACCACCAAACTCGCGCAAACAGCGCATTTCCCGGTTATCATTTTTCATCCTGTATGGGCGATACCTCGTCTCACCTGCGTTAAGATCTGATGGAAACTCAAAAGCTGATAAATTGAGCGTTAAGGGGTAGCGTAAATGATTGTTGGTAACTTTCACTAGTATCTCCAAAAAGAAACCTCGCCCTAATGCGATATTCATTTGAAATCGCGCGCGTGGGAAATTTTTTAAAGAGGCGAGCATCTCGGTGAATACCTCCGATGTGACGCTGTCGCGACAAGGAAGTGCGCGGCAAAGGCGCTAGGGCCTTGCAATTGTGTGCTGCCGTGCTGCGAGAATTTCCGGCAGCACAGATGTGGATGTGGTGCGTGGCTGGCCTAACGTGTGAGATCAGCTGAGTTGATTGCCGTATCAACCGATGGAACGGCTGGCATATCCAGAAAACTCGTTTGGACGTGACTCTCCCCCGAGCAAATCTCCTTCACTGCTAGAAGGAAAGGGGTTTCGATTTGGGCA